TGTCTGTAAAAAAAAAATATCCAGGGGCACCTGTGGCTCAAAGGAGTAGGGCGCCAGCCCCATATGCCGGAGTGGTGGGTTCAAACCCAGCCCCGGCCAAAAACAGTAAAAAAAAAAAAAAAAGAAAGAAAGAAATTAAACATTCATGCAGGCCCCTAGAGGTAGTTTGAGCACTGTGCCTGCCACATGAAGAAGTCAGACTTGCACAGATTGGCTAAGATGGGTCCTCTGCTGCAAGGGGGCTGACTCGAGTCTTTCCCCCAAACAGACAGAGACTGTGCCTCTCAGCTTCTCAGCTCTCTGCCTACAGCACAAAGGCTCAAGCAATGAACTGGCCACAGTTCCAGCCAGAAGCTTCCTGGGGTCTTGCTCACTCTGGTATCAGGCCGGGAAATCACTGTGTGGTCTTGGGTAAGTCACCTAGAAGCCCCCGGGCTGCCTCTGTTTGCTCATCTGTTAAGTGGGTGGGAGTTTCTGGGCCTGGGCAGCCTGATTTGTTTGACTGAGGTCAGAAGAGCCAGTGAGAATCTCACAGAAAAGTCAAAAATGACTGTCAAGTGTTCTTGGGATTCTTCTGGATTCTTCAGCTCTACATGTAGGTAAGCAGCTGTCCTTGTCTTTAGTACTAAATGTCCACTTTGGAGCCAGCGTGACTTGGGATGGATTCCCAGCTCTGCACTTATTGGCAGGGCACCCCTGGACGTGCAGGGGTCCATCACCGAACCTCAGTTCTCTCATCTGTGAGACGGGATTAATAACAGAATCTGCCATTTGGCCTGCTTTAGCATGGCGTCTGGCACAGGGAAAAGTACTAATCAATAGCTTTTATTATTGTTCTTGTCATTGTTATTATTAATCCCAGAGGAGGCAGTAGTCTGCAGGGCTATGAAATCATCCACATGGATTGGGGAACAATTTGCACAAACATCTCCAGGTATTAGGAGCCCTAACATCACCAGGGGCTGTTTGGGGGCTCACGTACTAAAGTCACATTGTCCCAGCTCACCAGTGTGCCCAGTGCCTGCCGCGGCTCCCTCTTGCCCACCCCAGAAACAGCAGGCCATCAACTCCCAGAATGTCCCTAAGTCCCAGGGATTTCCAAGCAGAGGAACAGAGATTGGCTGTGCTGGGCTTCCTGCAGGCCACTCAGGATTTCCAAGAGAGCAGCGGTGGCAGCCAGCTCTCAGGGATTTACCAGTCATTTCTCCCCCCCCACCAAGCCACCCAGAAGGCTGTGCCCCACTCATTAAGGTCCCCATTGTCACCTTCACCAGACTCTCCACTTGAAATCCCAACCCCAAAAGAAGGAAGAAGAGGAGCCCTTAGGGAAAAACAGTCACCTACTTGGGTCTCTCTGTCTTTGCCAGCAAGGATAGCCATGGTGCAGGAGTTCAGCTGGGGGCTGTGACACTTATCCCAAAGCCTGGGGTTGGTGTATGCAAGTGGAGAATTTGGAAAGCCCCAGCCCAGCCATGAGACCAGCTTCCAAGCCAGTGTGGCTCAAGTGGCAGATGAACCACCAATCCCTTCTGCTCCTAATCAGATTGGGGGTATGTGCAAGGAACTGCAGAAGCACCCCCGGGGAGGCCAGGTGGGACCAAAAGGCCACAGTTGCTAGGAAAAGCTGAGCTGTTGCCTGCAGAGACCAGGTCGCTAGGCGACCATCTGCCTATTACCAGGGCCCTGGCGTCATCAGTAACCTGTGCTCTGCAAAGCTGGCCAAGAGCATTCTTCCCCAGCCAGTGACAGCCCAGCTCCACTTGCCTCAGGCTTCATACTCTCTGGTCCTGGCCCTCAGATCATTCACTCTGTCACCATTGTGCCACTGTCCCTCCCTGGGCCTGGGGCCCAAATGTTCCCTGAGGTTAACACTCTGGGTGGACATTTGCATGAATGTGTGTGTGCCCAGAGCATCTGTGGGCAGCACTGGTGTGTGTGAGCTTGTCTGCAAGACTGTCGTGTGGATATGTGCAAGTGCATGCATGTATACCTGTGTGCACACGTGTGTGCACATGAGTGTGAGTGTGCCGCACAGGCTTGCTCATATGTGCAGAACGTGCATGGAGGTGTGTGCATGCCTGTACATGTAAGTGCATGCATGACCCGGGAGGGGGCGGCTGTATCCGTGTGCTGGCACATATGCGTATAATGCAGATACACTTGTGTGTGCCCATGTGTACTGCATCCTGAGAACATTTGTATGGTTAGCAAACGTACATACATGTGAGCACAGTTGATCTCTGCCCTTCAAGGGATGTTTCAGCTCAAGAGCAGTAGCAAAGACAGGGGTTTTCAGGCCTGTGTGTTGTGCGTACAAGTTTAGTGGAGGAGAGACCCAGAGCTACTCCACATAGAAGCAGGCAGAAAGCCGTGCGTGAACAACTGTGCTGATACAAGTAGGGAGCATCCAAGGCCTTCACCTTCCGGGGGCTCGGGGGGCGGGGCGTGTCCAGAAGGCAGAATTAGGACTGCATGATAGAAGGCATAGAGAAGCAAGCTTAGTTTTGATGTAAGAAATGATTTCACAAGTCAGAGGTCTATATGGATGAAGTAGACAGCCTTTGAGAAGCTGTGAGCTCCCCATCATTGGAGGTAAGCAAGTGGAGTCTGTGTGGCCTCTGGTCAAGGATGGAAAGATTATATGTGAACCGAGCAAGGGTTGACTAGAAGCAGAAGACACTGGGCAGGCTTCCAAGCCCTGAAATCCTGCATTATCTCATGGTTTATCTATTTTCTAATTGGGACTAAAAGAGACCCTCAATGGGGCCAAGAACATCAATGAGTGTTGATGGGGCACGCACTCCGGGGCAGGCCCTGCATCATCACTGCTGGCCTTATGACCCCTCTGCAAGAGGCTATTTTTATCCCCACTTGACAAGTGGAAGCAGAAACTTCAGCAGGTCCACCACTTGCCAAGGTCACTCTGTGATTAGGAGCAAAGCAGCATTTTTGATGCCAAAGCCGGTGCTCCTAACGCCCCTGGTGCTATCTTGTCTCAGGCCATGAGCAGAGGGACAGGTCAGGGAGGAAGATGTGGGCGTGGAGGTAGCATGGTGGGCAGAGTGGCAGGGATAGGGATTAATGCTAGGAGGCTGGAGCAAAGGACAGAGCAACTTACTTATGCCTCACCCATGATAACAGCTGCCTCACTCTTCCCCCCGCCTCAGTCTCTCCCCAGCACAGCTGCCAGGTGGTGCTCTCTCCTGATCACAAACCTTCAGTGGCTCCCTACTGCTCCTTGACAGCCTGGGTTTTTTTTTTTTGTTTGTTTGTTTTTTGAGACAGATGCCCCTGGGTAGACTACTGTGGCATCACAGCTCACAGCAACCTCCAACTCCTGGGCTCAAGTGAGTCTCCTGCCTCAGCCTCCCAAGTAGCTGGGACCACAGGTGCCCGCCACAACGCCTGGCTATTTTTTGGTTGCAACCATCATTGTTGTTTGGTGGGCCCGGGCTGGATTCGAACCCGCCACCTTAGGTGTATGTGGCTGGCGCCTTAGCCACTTGAGCCACAGGTGCCGAGCCGATAGCCTGGTTTTGACACAGCCCTTCCTCCTCAAAACACTTTCTAACTTGACCTGTAGGCCCCACATTCTTCTCCTTCCCCCTCACTGGTGGGGCCTCCTCCTTTCTGGTTCCTCCTCATTGCTCTATTTCTAATCTGACCCTCAGGCCTCTCCTCTATCCATGTTTCCTCCCTGGCATCCTCTCCAGCCCCACAGCTTTCAGTATGCCTATGTGACCAGAATCCCAACACCCTATCTCCAGCCCTCTCCTGACTCCAGGCTGAGGGGTCCAGCTGCCTGCTCTCCACCCCCAGGTGCACCCACATGTCATTCATCCTTCTGTCCACCCCACATAGCTATCACCTTTCTTCCTCTTAGTGGTTTCTGATCTCCATTTTTTAACCTTTATTCTAACTGAACTCTTCTGCATGCCGTAATGTTGAAATCTTTATGGATGTGGGTGGAGAATCGACCATTAGTGGACAACAGAGCAGGATCCAGGGCAGCCTTGGAAGGCGTCAGAGGCAATCTTCATGTCACTGGGGGTACCAAGGGGAGACAGCCTCGGCTTTGTTAACGATGGGGGGAGCTGTGAGCCCACCACAAATGCATGTATCTTTTTGTGCATTCAACTAACATGTATTTGGCACCTACTATGCACCAGACATTGTTTGTGGCTCTGGAGACATGGCAGTGAAAACAACAGGCAAAAGTCCCAGCCCTCACGGAGGTTGCATTTGTGTGTGTGCATGTGTGTGAGTGTGTATTTGTGTGTGCACGGTGGGAGGGGTTCGGTGGTGGGTAGTATGACTCCCGAATGATTCTGAGCACAGCAGGGACCCACAGCTTCTCCTAACCTCTCTGGTCAAAGCCTACTGCACAGAACAAAGGGAAGGAGCTCCCCCTAGGAGCCCTGCAGTCCCTCAATAGAACCCTGCCTCCCTGGGGTGGTCCTTAGCCATGGGGACAGGTGACTTACTTAGGCTCCTCCTCTTCCTCTTCCTCATCCTCTTCTTCCTTCTCTCCATCATCTTCCTCCTTCTCTTCATCCTCTTCTTCCTTTTCTCCATCCTCTTCCTCCTTCTCTCCAACTTCTTCCTTGTTCCCTCCAACTTCTTCCTCCTTCTCTCCATCATCTTCCTCCTTCTCTCCAACTTCTTCCTCCTTCTCTACATCCTCTTCCTCCTTCTCTCCAACTTCTTCCTCCTTCTCTCCAACTTCTTCCTCCTTCTCTACACCCTCTTCCTCCTTCTCGCCAACATCTTCCTCCTTTTCTACATCCTCTTCCTCCTCTTCAATCCGGGGCAGCTCCCTGAGTTAGGGTTAGAGGCAGGAGGTGAGCCCACCTGGAGCTTCCCCCAGAATCTCCTTCCTTCTCTGTTTTCTGTAGGATAGCCCATGACTCCCAGGACTGGGCCTGGACTCTCCAACCAAGGCTCTCCAACCTGGATACCCCCATTTGAGCACCCCTGAGCTTTGTCTAGCAGCAAGCCCTCTTCACTTCATGAGAGACCTGTCCCAGCCCCCTACTCTCCTGGTGGAGACCCTAAAATAGTCTCTTACCGTCTCTAGGCCTCAGTTTGCTCATCTTAGCAATGTGGGTTATGGATTTGAACCCAAGACCCAAGACTCCCATCTTGAGCTCCCACTATCACCAAGCCTCACTATAGGGAACAAAGATCATAACATCCCTGTAGATGTGAATGGCAATCACTATGCACAATCGCACACTCCAGGCCCAGTGATCCAGCTGTCCCCACTCTGGAAACCTGTAGCTGTGCTCACACATGTGCAAGGACATGCACACAAGAGTGCTTGTTGCAGAACTGTTCACAATAATAAAATTTTGGCTTTGGAAAAACCAAAATCAACATAAATATCCATCAACATAAATATCCATCAATGGTGGACAGGTCAAATGAATTGTGGTATATCCATGCAACGGAATACTATGCAGCCATAAAGAATGAGGATGATTTCCATGTACCCAATGTGGAAAGACTTCAAGCTATGTTGTTGAATGAATACCACAAGGCATGATGAACAGGTGGAAGAGGAGGAAGAGGAGGAAGAAGAGGAAGAGGAGGAAGAAGAGGAAGAAGAGGAAGAGGAAGAAGAGGAGGAAGAGGAAGAAGAGGAGGAAGAAGAGGAGGAGGAGGAGGGAGGGGGAGTGGGAGTAGGAGAAGAAGAGGAAGAGGAAGAGGAAGAGGAAGAAGAAGAAGAAGAAGAAGAAGAAGAAGAAGAAGAAGAAGAAGAAGAAGAAGAAAGAAGAAATGCAGGCTTGCATATGCCCAGACTGTCTCTAGAAAGTTCATAAGGACAAGGTGGTCATTGTGCCCATGGGGATGGGGATAGGGCCCAGAGGGAGGAGGAGGCAGGCTTGTTTCCTGCTTCCTGTTTTTTTATAACTTTGGGATTCTGTACCACATACCAGTTACCTTTGCCAACAATGACTAATTTTTTTCAGGACCTTCTCTGATTCCCTACCTGGGCATCTCCTCCACAGCTTCATTCTCTTCTTCATAAACAAGAATCACCGCTGTTTCCACCGGGATGTTGTCACTCTGGTGGGTTTCCTCCCAGTCAGGGTCAACCTCCTCTAGGATGAGGTCAGGCTCCACTTGCCCTCCAGGGAGGATGCTGACTGCAGGGGACACAGGAGGAGCCATGTGTGGGATGTTGGGGAGAATGGGCTCAGCCTCGGCTGTCTCGAGCCACGAGGAGATGGCACCCACTCAGTGAGACCTTTAGCAACCAGATCAGTGCTCAAGTGACGAGGTGAAGCGCATGCTCATTTGCCCCAACTCCTTCCATTACTTCCCCCACTTTTCCTTCTTGAGACGGCTTTGATTACTATTGATCAAGTTTGCCTCACTGGGGGCTGCTTAGCAGTTTGTGCAAGAAGCAGAAACAATGTTTCTAATCACAGGTGATGTCAAAAGACCCAGGCTCAGTGTCCACTTTGCTACATCCTCATGCAGGTGGCCTGGACTGTCCTGAGGGATGCAGAGAAAGCCTGCTTGTCACCTCTTCTCTGTATTGCCACCGCTTGGTGACAGAATACCCATAAGATCAGCACTTGCTTCTGGGAGTCCTTCTCCCACTCCTGGGCTTAGATGCTCCACTCTCCAAAGATATTTGTCTTTCTCATGGGGACAGCCCCATCTTCAGAGAGGAGTCTATAATTTTCAGCATTTCTCCATGTACCTGGTCCTTAAAACACCATGGGCAGGTGAGCTTGCCACAAGCTCACAAGAAGTATAAGGGTGTCCCAACAGAAACCCAAGCCTGTCCCCAGGAGGGTGTCAGGGAGAAAGGGGGAGATAGCCTGGGAACTAGGGGTTCCCAAAAAGCTCCAGGGATCTTGGTGGCTCTCAAGCCAAGCATGAATTAGTAACACTGACTTTAATTGGGAGTCAGCCTCCAGTCTTACTCTGTGACCTTAGAAGTTCCTGTTTATGGTGTCACATCAGAATAATAACAGTAATGATAACCTACATTTTTGAGCAGGGTCACCATCCTCGTACTATGTGCCAGGCCCTGTGCTAAGTGACGTACATGAATTGACCCCATTAGTCTTCACGTCAACATTTTGAGGTTACAATTATGATCCTCATTTTATTTTCTGTTTTGTATTTTATCCCCCATTTTACAGATGAGCAAACTGAGACACAGATAAATACCTTCTTTTATGGGAAGTTTCCCAAGAGCCAGGTGTGGAGCTCCTGGCTTCTAGGTACAAGTATTGTCCCTGTCTCACAGAGGTGACACTGCTTGCCCTCCAGGGAAACCCCAACAAGCATCCTGAACAGGCCTTTTCCACAGTACACTCTGGCTTCTCAAGACTCTGAAAATGTCACTGTGATTAGACCAGGAAAGCTCCCCCGAGTGAGACCACCATGCCTCCGGTGGTGGGGCACGTGGCACTCTTTGCTGCTGGCCGGCAATGGGGTAGCATCTTCTCTCTGAACTGCCCCTTGGAGCGCAGCTTCTGCCTGGGCATAGCAGGGGACATCCAGGGGACAGACTATCTTCTTGCCTGAGGGCTCATTAGTTTTCATAGCAAACCCAAAGGGCTGGAACACTACTCTTTCCATTTTATAGAACAGAGAGCTGTCTCAGAGAGGCTGAAGGTCTTGCCCAAAGCCACACAGGAAGCCGAAGGCCGAGCCAGGTCTCCTGACTCCTGTTTCCCTGGTATGCTAGCCCAGTCATAAACATGCCCCACCAGTGTCTCCCTGGCATGGTGGCCACACCGTGATGGTGCTGTCTTTAAGGGATGATGTGGTCCTTGCTTATACACTTGCTTTCCTTTTCATAAACCTTTTCTTTAGGCCCTATTTAGTAAGCAAGCACTTTGTAAGAATTTCCTCTGTCCATCTCCGCAGCAGGCCTCTGAGGCATGCCCTATCCTTTCCCTAGTTTATAACTGAAGATTCCATAGCTCTGAGAAGAGGGTGTTGAGCTTGGGCGGGGACGGGGCACTCTGACACACAGCTCCCAGGCCAGGGCCCAGTAAACTGATGGAGGAGCCGCTGGCCCACCAGGAGCTCCCAGCCCCTCTCTATAGGGGTCTCATAGCTCTCCCAGCTTCTCCAGCCCTCCCAGGTGCCTGAGGGCTATGGGTGCTCCAGCTCACATGGAAGCTGCTGCTCCATCTGGTTGGCTCTGGCACCTCCCGGCCAGGGACCTCTCTGCCCTCAAGGGCACCAAATGGGGTTCTGACCCTACCTAGTGAAAGTCAGCAGCCTCATCTGGGGAAGGAGCTCCTTTCTCAGGATCCGCGGACACAGTGCCCACTACATGGATCCTAAGCCAAAGCCCCACCCAGACCCTGGGTCACTGTCAAAGTCCAAGCCCTGGCTCCAAGTCTCCGTCCTCTCCGGCAGGCCTGGGTTATGAAACTCCATCCTCCTGCCTCTCCCTGGTCCAGGCCCACATTTCCTTCCACCTGGCTCCATTCTGAACCCCCCCCCCTTGCTTGTCATTCACTGGATATTTCTCTAAGTATGGTACCAGCCCTTCGCCCATGATCAGAATCAATAAGAAAGTGGGTGCTTCTCAAACAAGCAAGTTCTCTAAATCTCTTGAAGATTTAGGGGTAGGACATTCTTCATAGTTGCCACCAGGTGCTTCAGAGGTGACCCCACTTTGATTGTTTTCCCTCCCTTGGATGCCGGCTCAGCCCAGAGTAATCTTTCTGAAGTCACTCCCCTACTCAACCACCTTCAATGACTCCCCATTGCCTGCAGCCTGGTCTCCTAAAGTGAGCCTCCAACTTCTCGAGTTTTATTTAACACACCCCTCCTTCCTTTACCGCCAGACATTTGCTCACTTTATTCCATCTACTGGATTTGTCCTCCCCTTACCAACAGTTCCAGCAGGGGTAGGGAACCTTCAGCCTTCTGATTTCAAGATTGTTCTGGCTCGGCGCCTATAGCTCAACCGGCTAAGGCGCCAGCCACGTACACCTAAGGTGGCGGGTTCGAATCCCCAGCCTGGACCCGTCAAAACAACAATGACGGCTGCAACCAAAAAATAGCCGGGCGTTGTGGCGGGCGCCTGTGGTCCCAGCTACTTGGGAGGCGGAGGCAGGAGACTCGCTTGAGCCCAGGAGTTGGAGGTTGTTGTGAGCTGTAATGCCATGGCACTCTACCCAGGGGGACAGCTTGAGGCTCTGTCTCAAAGAAAAAAAAAAAAAGATTGTTCTTTTTTAAGCACCAAAAGAGACAAGAAAGCCTTCAATGTCTCTGTTGCACCCCTTTTAATAAAAGGATTTGTTCTATAAAATTTAGGTTCAGTCAAAAGGCCACACTCAAGGATCCAGAAAGCCACATGTGGCCTTAAGGTTGCATATTCCCCACCTCTGGAAGGAGCAGGTGCGACCAACCCTGAGGTACCAGCTGCTGCTCAGACTGCCTGACAGTGTTGGCCCATTACAGCCTGGTCTTCCTCATTTTCAAGAGAAGCCAGATTTTTGTTGTATACATAAAGCCACCTGACATTTAAATGTCTACAACTAATTCTAATTTTGAAAATTACTTCTTGGCTGAAACAAAGACATCTGTGGGCCAGCTGTGACCCAGGGAACTGGGCTCAGAAGCCCTGGCCAATTTCTCCTTCCCTTCAACCCCCATATCCTCGGCCATGGTTTATTTTGTCCACCTGCTTTTAAAACCTAAATATTTAATAAATATTAGCTTTACCCTAAGCAATAATATCAAACAATCGCAGGTGTGATTTATGCTTTTTTTTTTTACATGCTTTTTTAATGTTAAGTACAATGTGTATAGATGTCCACTGGGGGGGTCCCTGGCCCTTGGAAGAGAGAATGTGACCAGGCCTAAGGAGAACCTCTCCTGGGAAAAATGTGTCCCATAGGGGCACTGACTGTGCCAGGCACCATGCTGAGGGCTGTGTAGGTGTCCTCACAAAGAGACAATCAATACCAGAGTCCTCCATGAAGCTTTTTTTTTTTTTAATTAACAAAAAATATTTTAGAGATGGGGTCTTTCTCTGTCACCCAGGCTGGCCTCAAATTCCTGGGCTCAAGCAATTGTCCCTCCTCTACCTCCTGAGCAGCTGGGACTATGGGTGCCACCATGCTCAGCTATGGAGCTTCCCTCCAGCCTTCCATTGGGGAAGTCTGTTTTCTACCCTAAATCTCAGGGGCTTCCCAGGGCTGGCCTTTCCCTTGTTCTGGTCTGGGTCCTGGTCCCTTGCCAGGTAACCTGGAAAGTGGTCTGGGGCTGGTGTAAGTGACTCTGGCTGCCCCTGTCCTGACTGGGAGTATGTGTAGGGGCGGGGGTTCACTATTCAAATCGGGGGGAGTCAGTGGCCACCTCCCCACCCGGAAGGTCTTCTCATCAGGGCATCCTCTCTCCTTCCATCCATCCGTCCATATGTCCATCGCGCTCTCCCAGATCCCCTTCTCCCTTGTTTCAGAGGCCTCCAGCTGCCATCACCCCTGAAACAAAGGAGAAGACAAGGGTGGGTGGCTGGGTGGACAGGTGGAGGGAATGAATGGGGGAGGCCTGGGGACACTCATCCCCCAGCCCCTCAGAGTCTCCCCATGTTGTGGGTTGAATAGTGTCCCCCAAAGAGATAACCCCAAGTCCTAACCCCATTACCTGTGAATGTGACCTAATTTGCAAATAGGGTCTTTGCAGATGTGATTAAGTTAAGGATCTCAAAGTGAGATCATCCCGGATTTAGGGTGGGCCCTAAATCCAGTAACTGACGTCCTTATAAAAGGAAGAAGAGGCAGCTTTCATGCTCATAAAGGAAAAGGCCATGTGGAGACGGAGCAGAGGTTGGAGGACGGCCAAAGCTGAGGAGCACCAGGGGCTGCCAGCAGCCACCAGAGGCCCGGAGGGAGCACAGGACAGCATCTCCCTTAGACCCTGGGAAGGGACCAACCCTGCCAACATCTTGATTCTGGACTCCCAGTTCTTGAATTGGAAGAGAATCTATCTCTGCTGTTCTGAGGCACATGGTGTGCGGCCATTTGTTATGACTGCCCTGGGAGACGAATCCACACAGGCTTCCAGCCCCTGTGCAGAGTCCACCACCCATGACGCCCTCTGGGAACTGTGAAAAGGCCCTGACCAGAGCTGGCTGGGAACCCAGCCTCCCTCCAGAGGAACAGAGGGGCTTGGGCGCTGTGTCCTCAAAGCAGTGAGTGGCCTCTGGAAGGTGTCTGCCCCAGGAGACTTTGTGGTTCTTTTAGCCTTTGCCTGACTGAGCAGGTACTGGCAGGCCAGGTGGACTCTAGTCACCATTCCACAAGATTGCTGTGTGACCTTGGGCAAATGGCTTCAGTTTTCTGAGCTCTGCTCCCTGCCTTCAGCTCGGGGGTCCCTGCTCTGTCTGCCCCAGGATAGCCAGGAGCTCCATGAGAGGGCGAGTGTGCCCTGCTCTGCGCATGCCTCTCACGTTGTCATAATCACTATAAGCCATGACAAGCAAATTCTCTGAATCTCTCTTGAAGATTTAGGGGTGGGACATTCTTCATAGTTGCCACCAGGTGCTTTCCCTCCCTCAGATGCTTTCTCAGGCCCAGAGTAAGCATCCCTTGGCTTCTCCGTCAGGCCTGAGGCCACAGCTGGCCAGCTGTCTGCTCCAGGCCACAGTGGCCACCCTCTGTGCTCATGAAACCACCATCAGCCTAGGGGGCTGGGGTAGGGCACAGCCTTGGAGACACAGTGGGGCATCCCTGAGACACCCTGTGGCCCACAGTCGCAAGGCTTGTGTCCAGGATGGAACAGGGGATGCCACCAGCCACAGGCTCTGAACACTGTTTTGTTCACTTCTAGACCCATCACAGGCCTGGCACATAGTAGGTCGTCCATAGTTAGGAATGAATGAATGAATGTCTTTCCAACGCTTGCCTTTCTGGAGGCCATGACGTGAAGTTAGAGTAGATTCTGCCCCTAGTCTCTTCCTGACCTCAGTCCTCTGTCCCCACACCTGGCTCAGGGCTGGGACGAAAGGTACCACGTATCTGCCCACTCCACCGCAGGTGAGGGGGATACCAAGCTCCAGGGAGCTGAGTCTATGGGGTCTGGCTCCTCAAGGGAGATCCCACCCTAGGACTCTGCTTGTGCAAACACACTTGCTCACTTGCCACTGTCCTGGCCTGGGTGTTGTTTTCTCTGTATAGAAAAGAGCTAGAAGCCAGACCCAGGAGGACTTCCAGCCAGCACCTGGCCCTGGGCCGGTCCTGCAGGCTCCCAGCCAGGAGACCTCAGGCCTAGCCAGGGACACCCCACTCAGAGCAAGGACAACAAACAACCCTCCCAGGGATGCCGACAGAGACCCATTAATGCCACTCACTGGTCTGCACTTCACACGTCTCAGGGCAGTCTGGCTCCTGCATGGAGACAAGGGGGGAAAAAACTGCTGTGGCCCCCTGGCCTGCCTCCCTCCTCCACCCCCCCCCCCCAGCACAAGCAGGAGCAAAAGGGACTTTCTTCCTTCCCTTCCTAGGACAGGGGCTGAAGATCCCAGAGCCTCAGCCCTCTCCTCCCCATTTATCTCTCCTGCCGCAGAGGCACCCCTCGGCTCCAGCCCCTGTCCCGCCAGGGCTGCTGCTCAGTGTCACCCCTGCTTGGGACCCCTTCTCTCTGTGGGAGAGACTTCCTCCCCACCTTCCTCCTTGGAGGGTGTTTCCTAACTTCTAGCTCCACACCTTCTCCTGCCCCACCCCACCCTCGGCCCCCTCTCTTGGGGTCTTGGGGTTTCTGCCACAAGGCCCCCTTTCTCCTCTGGGAAACCGTAAGCTGTGCTTCCTCTGCTGTCTGCAGAGGCTGTGGGACACAGGGAACCTAAGGCTGTAGGAACCGGGATCATACTGGGTCCGACTCCTGTTACACGACTTGGCCCAACTCTCTGAGTCTCTGTTGCCCCATAAAATGAAGAAGGGGGTCCCTGCTGTGCCCAGAGTTGGTGAGGGAATTGAGGGAAGGAGGATTTGAAAGCCTGGCAAGGTGGATGTGCCCAGAAATAGCTAACGCAGCGGCACCTGCTCAGGAGAGCCAGGCTTGGGCCTTGAGTGACCCAGAGGCTCAGGACCTGCCCAGGCCTTCCTCTCTTCCGGCCTCAATAGACATCTATTGTTTACATAACTTATCCTACATTCTCACACCCCTGGGTGGTTGTCCTTTGCTCAGGTGAGACAACTGAGGTTCTGACAGGGTCAAGGCCAAGGTCACACAGCCAGAACTGAGATTAGACCTCCCACCTCCTGTTCCAGGAACTTCTATGAAGATGTCCAATTATCCTCAAGAACCAAAGACCAGGTTCTTGGGGAAAGGAGGGGAGAAGGGTAACAGAGGCCCTACTCCCTACCCACCCAGAATGGCTTTCAGGAATGCACATAGGGTTTGCTGGCTTCCTGTGAGCCCCACTGCTTCCCAGAATGTTCCAGGTCTCTCTTATTTCTATATCTTTGCACATGCTCAGAAGCCTCCTCCACTGAGAAGCCTTCGTGATGCTCCTGACAGGCTTCACCTCTGTGGCCCACATCTTTTCTGCTTCCCCCATGGAAGCTCCTGCCCCCCAACTGTGAGCTCTTGGCAGGTGGGTTAGGCCAGCACATCTCAGCTCTGTGGCCACCATGCCTCACAGGGTATGGCTGGGATGACCATGAGCCATGCACACAGGCAGCCTCGGGGGGCTGGGCTCCCTGTGCAGGCTCCTTCCTTCCTGCTGCACCTCCAAGCACCCCACCCTTCCCATTACCAGCAGGGTCCACTCCCCGAGCCCCACACTGACCTGCTCTCCTACTTTCCCATGGAGTACTGGCTGTGGCAGGGCCATCTCCAGTCTGTGTAGGACCCAAGCAACCAACCTGCAGGTAGGAGAGCAAGCTGTGTCCAGGCAAAAAGGCTTGTGGGGAAACTGAGGCCAGAGTCAGCTCTCCCAAGGCAGATAACAAGCCTACCAGAAGGCAGAGCCTGTGAGAAGCCAGAACCTGGGTCTCCGGACTGAAGACCATTTCCTCCCTCCTCCTCCTCCCTAGGTGAGCTTCTGGCTACTACTCAGGCCCCAGCCGGTAGCTCAGGCTCCCCCCATCCTCCCCTCACCCCAGAAGGGCATTTCAGGCTTTCACATGCTGTGCAAGTGGGAGCACTTGGCAACACCTAGCCCAATTTGGAATGCAAATATTCTTTGGCCCACTACCTCCATTTCTATGGATTTGTCCTACAGATTTATTTATATGATGCATATGTAGGCTACTCTTTGGAGCTGGAGAGTAAAAACAAACCTAAATGACCACTGGATGGTTAAACAAAAGCCGGTACAGCCATATAATGAGGTACTAAGCAATCACTGAAAGGCCCAGCAGCTGACACCTGTCATCCCAACACTGGGAGCTGAGGCTGGAGGATTGCCTGAGGCCAGGAGTTCAAGACCAGCCTGGGCAGCATAGTGAGACTCTGGATCTATATACAAATTTTAAAACTGAATAAGTCAGCAATTGTCTGCAGTCTCAGCTACTCAGGAAGCCAAAGACAGAGGATCCCTTCAGCCCAGGAGTTTGAGGCTCCGGGGCTACGTGAGCTATGGTGATGCTACTATACTCTAGCCTAGATGACAGAGTGAGACTCTCTCTATCTCTCTCACTCGAGAAAAGAAAGGAAGGAAGGAAGGAAGGAAGGAAGGAAGGAAGGAAGGAAGGAAGGGAAGGAGGGAGGGAGGGAAATAGACCTCCATGTAGAAAACCATCTCTAAGATACATTTTTTAAGTAAAAAAAAGCAAGGTGCAGAAGAGAATTATAGTTTGCTCTTGTGTGTTTCAAATGAAAAATGTACTCGCAAGCTTGGACAGACATAGAAAATGTGAGGAAGGCCAAGAAGCTGGGAAGGGGCTTGGAAATGCGGTTGAATATTCTTCCAGGTGTATGTGTCACATTCATAATTTTAAAGACTAGTTTTGTGAAGGTTAAAGGTTGGGCTGGGGCTTCCTGTGGGAGGTGTGGCACTGAAGGTGGCTTACCTGGCAGGGTCCCTGGGAGGCAGCAGGAAGGACTCAGACTGGGGCTCTGGAGCTGGCTCCTCCTGGGGCTCTTGGGGGCCAGGAGTAGGCGGAGAGGGGCTCTCCAGGGCCTGAGGTGTGGGCTTCGTTTCTGGGGCTGATTCTGGAGGTGCTAAGCAGTGGGGAGAGCAAGGAGCTAAAGATGCAACCCCACAAGGGCACGGGGGCATATTCTAGACACTAACATGACTGAGAGAGGAGCCCCCAAGACCACCCCTACTAGCCCTTCCATCAGAGCAGTCACCGAAACTGAGATTGCACAAGTCTGGCTTCCCAGCCTGGACTGGGAAAGGGATCCAGTGCCCCCCACAACACCCTGCTCCCAGCCAGCCCTGGACCCCTCCCCAGCCAGAGTGAAGCTTAAGAGGCTCCCTTGGGTCCCAGATTTCCCCTGCTCAGCCTGTGCCCCTCCCAGGTCCCCTCCTGTACCTGGGCCCAAGGCAGCATCTGTGGGCTCGTCTCTTCCGTCCTGAATGATAAACAGGGAGTTGGGTCACAGATCAGAGAACACCCTGGCCAGCTGTGCCCTGGCCCGAGGCTGGTGGCAGGGGCTCTTTCCCTCCTCTGCATCCTCCCTGCTCCCTCACAGTCATTCCTCCCCATCAAGGACTCTCCAAGGAGGAGATGGCTTCCTCTGTGGGTCTGGGGGGCTGGGGTGGGACAAAGGGAGGCCCTCCTAGGGCCCTAGAAGCCCTCCCACATGGTCAGCAGCCTGGCCCTCCTTCTCCTTGACTCACCTCAGCAATTTTGGGGGGCTGAGGCAGTACCTTCTCCAGGTTCTGTTCTAGCCACCTGACCAGCCATGGCCCGGACCTGCAGAGAGGCCAGTGGCCAGCTGAGTGGCCTGAAGGACCAGGCCGGGGACCAGGGGTCTAACTGTGACCAGGACAAAAGCCCCTGCTCTCAAGAAGTCAACAGTCTAATGAATGAATGAGGTGGGGAATGAATGAATGGGAATGAAGTGAATGGAGATTTCTAGCAGAAATTGCAAACTGGAAGCGTCAGGCTTCCTTCAGGGGTTCAGTGTCCTGAAAACTTCTCCACTAGTTGGCAACATCTAAAAATTCAGAATTTTACATAAAAGCCTGGGTTTCTAGCTTCTCTTAGAAAACTGGAGGATCTAGCCACATGGGTCTGCACTCCTGTGAGGAAAAGGCAGTGGGAACAGGACATGGGTCTCCCCCTTTGCCACCCTCACTGATGAGAGTTCTGAGGAGTCAGACGCTGTTGTCAACTGTGAAGCCAACCTGGGCACCCCGTGTCCCCATGGTGGTTCAAGCCTTCCTTCCAGGCTCCACATGGGCCCATCTATATGTTCCCTTCTCTAAGGCTTTCACCCATGCCTTCTCAGAGGGTGGTCCCACCCAGAGAGCTTCTAGTAATCAGCACAATAAACCCTGGGCACCACAAGGTGCACTGTCCCCATTCCATGGATAGGAAAACCAAGGTCTGGAAGAGAGAAGAGGCATGTTCAAGGTCCCACACTGAGTAGGCAATAGACCTGCTCCTGAACCCAAGACCCTCACCCCGGGGCGCACTGATCCTCCCACCAAACACACTACAGATGACAGTGACACAGTGGTAGGGACTCACCCACTGTCCTCATTGGGTACATCTGTGCAAAGAAAATAAAGAAAGGTGATCAGTAGCAAGAGACCACCCAGAGACCCCTGGTCAGCCCAAAGCAGGCACCAAGAGCCCCACTTGAACCCAGGGCCAGTCAGATGAGAAACTGTGGCCCACGTGGACTCTTCCTGAGGGTAGGGCCCACCCCAGAAGCCCCTCAGCCCTTGCTCCTAAAAAGCTCTCCCACCTCTTGGTCTTACCTTCATCCTCAGTGCCGCAGTGCCCAAGGACCTGCCAGGGACAGACAGACAGACTTGGGCAGGGAGCCCTGGGCAGCCCCCCACCAGCCCTTCCTCCCTGGACCCTGCCTCCAGTCCCTGCATTACCTGAGCTGGGTCCTCCTTGCTGAAGACAGGCTGTGGGACAACCTTCTCCATGCCTTTCCTGAACCAGGTCATCACCCAGCCTCTGGGACTGCAGATGGATAGAAGTACCAGCCTAGCCACAGCTCTCCCTTACCCCTCCCTTGTCCAAGTGACAGTCCACAGTGTCCTGAAGAGGTTGGCTAGAATCTCAAACCACTGTATCCTCACCATAAAATATCAGACATGTCACCTCCCCAAGTCTCACGTTCTACTCTGGAAAATGGGGGACACTTGTGCTTCTGGAGGCCAGGCATGCCCAGTGCTATTCAGAGCTTGCCCCTGTGGCATGCTCAGGATGGAGCAGCTGGGGCTCTCATGCTGCCTCCCCGCTCGCTCCAGAGCCTCTGCCTGCACTTGGCACATTCTAGAAGAGCTAAGGCTTCTGTGGGGTGCACCCTGCCACTAAGGCTGAGCAGCCTAAATGCAAGTGCTGCAGACCTGCTGACTGAGGCCACCCAGCCCAGCCGGACTCAGGAGGACAAGCAATGGGGTCTGAAATGTCTGAGCCAATGGGGAGACTGCAGGCAACAGCTTAGATTTCTGCTTTTCTTCGGATTTTTTTCGGGAAAATCAGAAGTTCCAGCACATTGGACCTGCATCTCATCCAAGCACTGGGAAACTTCTGGTCCCTGTAGAGAGGGTGTTCATTATTATGGCTATCACCCTCCCATGCAGTGGTTCTCAATCTGTGGGTCGCGACAATGAAAATACATCCTGCATATCAGATATTTACATTACGATTCATAACAGTAGCAAATTACAGTTATGAAGTGGCAACGGAAATAATTTTATGGTTGGGGGTCACCACAACATGAGGAACTGTATTAAAGGGTCGTGGCATTAGGAAGGTTGAGAACCACTGCTCTAGTGCCTCTTGGTCGCATTGCCCATTCAGCCCAGAAGACACCCCACCCCCTCCCGATGTCGTGGCAATTTCCTGAAGCCTTTGCCCAGAATGACTACAGACTTGAGTGCAGTACCATCCCCTACCCCCAGGCCCCAGGGGCTCCCTAGCTGGGAAGGGTGAGGAGGGGAGGGCTGACCCTCAGGATAGGGGAGAGTGGTACGGTACCTGTCTACTTCTGGAGTCACAGTGACCTCGGCCTGTACAGATGAGGGTGGAACAGGGACAGTCTCCTGGGTCTCTGGAAAAGAGTCCCTCATAATTTATATCCAGGGCTTCAGAGAGGCCCAGTGGCGTTCTGCTGGGGAGCTCAAGTGAAAGGCAAAGTGGGGGAGAACCCCAAGGGGTCTGAAGACCAGGGTTCAGCCTAGCACTCTGGGAAGGTGAGGCAGGTGGATTGCCTGAGCTCACAGCTGCAAGACCTCGCCTCTAAAAATAGCTGGGTGTTGTGGTGGGAACCTGTAGTCCCAGCTACTTGGGAGGCTGAGACAAGAGAATCACTTAGCTCAAGAGTTTAAGGTGAACTATGATGCCACAGCAATCCACCAAGGGCAACAAAGTGAGACTCTGTCTCCAAAAAAAAAGAAGAAGAAGAAGAAGAAGACCAGGGTTCCAGGTCAGCTCAGCCAAGAAGTCTTTGGGAGCCTACTCTTAGCTTCTCTGAGCCTCAGTTTCCTCATCTGTGAAATGGGCCTGCCAGCCACGTGGGCTGCTGGGAGGCTCTGAGCAAACAATGTAGCCCCACTGCCCTGTCAGCCTGGGCTCCCAGCACTCACCCTGAGGGTTTGGGTCAGCCACAGCCACTTCCTCATCCTTGGGTGTCTCTTCAGGGGGCTAGAGGATTCAAACAGGAACATATAAGCCATAGGTGAGACCACCTGTTTTGGACAGGGGCAGCCCCTGATTCACCCATGAGGAATTCCCCATTCCCTGAAAGGACTGAATGACTCTATTCTCCAATCCTCCCAGTAAATACTGGGGACCCATCCTTCCAACCAGGGATGCTCCTTTCCTCCCAGCCTCAGGGGTCCCTCATCCAGGACTGGGGCCCTCTCCTCCCAGGCCTATCACATCCCCCAGCAAACTGCCCCACTTTAGTAACCCAGGAAGAGGAGGAACAGTTAGAGACAGCTGTGAAGGGCCCAGTCAAGCTGAGGAGAGGAGGGAGGTGAGAGGAGCCCCTCCCCTCATCCCCAACCAGGATCCTCTCTCTCTGGCCCAAACTTTCCACTCCTCTCTAGCAGCCAATGGAGTTCACCCTCTGGCCTCTGGCTCTCACTGACTCTGCAGCCACATAAATACCCATGTGAGCACACTTAGTCTCACATATGTCTACATACACAGAGACACAAACACGAACATATACACACATACACGTGCATACATACACTGATGGGCAAACATGTATATACGCGTGCACAGACAAAAATAAGTGCACGTGCACACACATATGTGCATATGTATACGGACACAAAGTATGTGCATATACATTTACACATCCATATGCATGCATACCCCAACACACATGCACAGGTATGCAGGAAGATACAAACATGTGCATATACACATGCATGCCTGCAGACACACATATGTGCATACCTGCCAGCACCTGGACAACAGGTGCATACACTCAGACACATGGCATATACAGTACCTATGGTTGCAGGAATGTGTGTGTACACACGTGCACATACATATGCTCAGTCACATAAATGTAAGCACATATACATACGTCTGCATACTTGCAAGTTGCAAACATTTGCATATGTACACATGTACATATACATGCACACAGACCTCTGCATCTAAACCTATGCACACGTATACATGCACAGACCCATGTGATGTGTACATATACACATGCTGAGGCATATAAATATGTGCATACACACAATACATGCAGAGATGCACAAACATGTACACACACTTGCCAACACATGAATACATTCACCTACTCAGGACACGCATATATACATACACTTCTACACACTAGCATGCCATACATGCATGTGGAATCACAGACATACTAATGCATGGTCACATAAACATAAATGTGTGCACGACACATACCTGCACACACAAATGTACACACATGTTGGCATGCAGGCCCAATTTGCAAATACACACATATGCACACAGACACATCACTAAGGAACACCATACACATATGTGCATACACATGTGTACACATGCAACACACAAACCCTATACCTGCTTCCTAAACATACCCTGCACTACCTTACTAATGACCTTTGCTCTGTCAGAAAGGCCCCCACCTCCCCATCACCCTTCATCTCTGCTCACCCTCCGTGTCTAGGAAGTACTCCCCCACCAGCTTCCAATCTCCAAAGATAACTTTCCCTCTTCTGAGCTCATCTGGCCCTCCCAGAGGGTAGAGCAGGGTCAGTGCTCACCACACTCCTTCATCACCTGCATCTCTTGGCAAACTGAACTGGCTGGATATTTGTCTGCAAACCCCCTTATTCATCTTTATGCCTTCAGCACTAAGCTCAGGACCTGGCATCAGTTCAAAGCTAAATCAAATCTGTCAAAGGGAGCTACTGAATTAGTTGTCATCAGGCTCCTGAAAGGATAGAATGAGAACTGGCAAGTTTTGACGTGCTCAAAGGGAAGTTTTGGAGAAATGATCCTCAAAGTGTGGGTCATGGACCAGTGCCCATCTGCAAACTGTTATTGGCCCATGATGATGAAGCAGTTTGCACCAGGACGTGTATCAATGCCTAGATCAGATATTCATTTCCTTCACTGAGAAAGTCTTACTACAAAACAATTAGCAACTGAATTAGGCAGTTGCTTAAGTGTGCTTAGTTACATAGTAGATTTATATTCTGGTGCAAGCTGCTGATCTCATCCTAGACTGGAAACAGTTTATGGCCTGCCTCCTTTGAGTAGTTCAGTTCTAGACTCTAGAGTTTGGCAAAACATGGCCTGTGGCCAAATACAGCCTGTTGCATATTTCTGTAAATAAATTGTATTGGTTATTTGTGTATGCATTATCTATATCTGTCTTCATACTATAATGGCAGAGGCGAGTAATTAACAGAGAAACATGACCCACAAAGCCTAAGATATTTACTACATAACCTTTTACATAAAAAGCTGGCCTTGGGGCAATCCACTCTCTGGGCCTGAGCTGTGTCATTTGTATAAGTGCTGGACCAGGTGACTGCCACATTTCCTTCTGGCTCAAATTATAGAAGGCCCTTGGGGAGCAGGTGGCCCAGGCTGAGAGGTCCCTAAGCAGTAAGGCTAGCCTGCCTGCCCCTCATCGATCTCCATGTCTCACCATGGACTTGACCTCTGGCTCAGGCTCCTTGGGGGCTGTTTCAGGCTGTGGCTCTGGTTCTATCTTCGGCTCCACCACTGGCTCCAGCTCTGGCTCTGCCTCTTCCTCTTCCTTCATCTTGGTCTTCTGGGGGGAGCTTGGGGGCTGGGGCAGCACCCTCTGGACCCAGCCCAACATCCTGATGCCTATTAGAGGCAGAGTGCTCACGGTCACTGCCACCATTTATAGGCCACTTTTGTGAGTTGTACATTCCTCTCATCATCCTTAAAAATATTTCTACAATTACATCTCTTCATATTTACCTCATAGAGTTACTCAAAGCCATACATACAAGGTTGGACAGTTAAGTTCTCAAACTCATCCTAGAAAAAGTGCTATATCTCTCACTGCTGAATATCACTACGGTCACCAGATGGCCAAGGGAAGTACCAGCAATGAGGTATGTAGCACTTTTTCTAGGATGAGTTCAAGAACTTAATTGTCCAACCTTGTACATGTGTATAAAGAAGTTGGTTGCAACAGTGTCATAGCAAAAATGAAAAATACCCAAATATCCATCAAGAGGAGACTGGTTATTGGTTGTTCATCTGTAAGAAGGGCGTGTACTAAGTAAATTACAATACATTCAATGAGGGAATATTATGGAGCCATTTTTTAAAAAGAAGCAAATCTATTTGAACCAGCATGAGAAGATGTACATGCTCTGGAGTCAAGTCACAAGCAGGTCAGTTAAACTCTCTGTGCCTCAGGTAGCCTGTCTATAAAATGGGGGTATTAGTAGTACCCACCTCATGGAGCAAGTGCGAGGATGAAACAAATTGATAAGTGAAACATATTCAGAACAGTGACTGCCACATGTCAAGGACTTAAAAAACAGTGGCTATGACTATCATGTGGTATCAAGTGAAAACACTCATTGCCAAATATCCTGTATACACTAAGAGTAACGTATGAGTGGAAAATCTGTTTTGGTTAAGAGAAAATTAACCTATGCTCGTGATTTTTTAATTTTTAAGATAGAGTGCCATGTAAGCCTGTTTTCATGGTTTACTGTGCTGTGGGTTACACTTTATATGGGGTCAGTTTCCAGTTCATTTATCTTTGGGGAATAGGGAGCCCCTTACAACTAAATCCCCACAGGATGGCCTGGCCTGTTGGGCACCACACAGGTCAATGTTTGCAAACTCTCAGCCCTGGATGGGCCCGTCCAAGGCAGTGCCTGGCATGCGTATGCCCCAGCCCTCCCCAGCTATGGGCAGCCCAGGCACCTGCAGAGTGCCTATGTGCCCCTCTCTGCCAGGGACCCTGATCCCAGGAGCCAGGAGCCCTGTCTTGGTGCCCAGCTCTTCAGAGCTCTGGGTCCTTCTACTCATAGCCTTGACCTCTGTCCCTGTTCTGGCCTCAGCAGCCCTGCTTCTCCCAGGAGAGGCTGTGGTGGGTGCAGAGCCCTGGTTCAGCCTTCAAAAAGTGAACTTGGGCCAGATATGCCCCCTCTGATCTTCCCTTTCTCTGGGGGTGGAGGATATAGACACAGTGATGTCCCAACTCAGGACTGCCCAAAGTCACATGTTGGGACGACAGTGTCTACTGACCCCAGCAGGTCACAGGCAGCCACAAGAGCCAGAACTGAGTTCTCTACCCACAATCAAACTCATCTTCCTTTTCGTCACTACACCCTAGGCCCCCACCCCCAGTCAAATAAGGGTTGTCATCCCAGAACACAGAAAGGTCCACAGACGTGCTCGAGGCAACACAACCAGCTAGTGGCCAAGCTTAGTTTACACTAGGGGCTGCCCAATTCCAGCTGCCCCACACCTACCCCCGGGGTGGTCCTGATGTTTGCCTCTTCTGTAGGCCATACCTGTAGGCCATTTCCCAGCAGGGAGCAATTCTGGCTTGCATTTTCAAACCTTCTGAACTTAGAGAAGCTTTTCTCACCTTCAATTTTTTTTCTTCCCCCAGACTCAGCCATTTCTTTCTGGATGGGGACTTTTATAGGACCCTCCCATCTTTCTGCCATGTCCCTACTGACTCCACTTTGATGGGGGAGGCTCAGGTGCTGAAGTGACAGCTCAGGGCACCATGATGTTGTATCACTTGTGTTTTCAGAATCTTCTAGGCAGCTGGTGACAATACGGATTCCAGGCCGGGCACGCTGGCTCATGCCTGTAATCCTTCCACTCTGGGAAGCCCAGGGGAGCATCACTTGAGCTCAGGAGTTTGAGACCAGCCTGAGTAAGAGGGAGACCCCATCTATAAACTTGAAAACTTAGCTGGACTTGATGGCGGCACCTGTAGTCCCAACTACTGGGAGGCTGAGGCAGGAGGATCACTTGAGCCCAGGAGTTTGAGTTTACAGTGAGCTATGATGATGCCCCAGCACTGAAGCCCAGGTGACAGAACAAGAGTCTGTCTCAAAACAAACCAAAAGTTTATCCTATTAGGGTACATGTGAATTTGTCTAAAGGTCGAATATAAATGTCTTAACACAACAGTTATGAGAAAGACATGATGGCTATGTTAGCCAGTTGGATGAGAGTTTTTCAAACTGTATATGGAAGCAACACACTATATCCTATGATAGAATTAATGTACACAATTATGATCTAATAAGAAAAAATATAATAAAAAATAAATAAAATGTAAATATTAAACTAAAAAAAAAAAAGAAAAGAAGAGAAAGAAAGGAAAATACAGATTCTTAGGTTCCCCAAACCCTCCAGGAAGAAGCAGAATTCTTACTTCACAAGCTGCCCTGAAGATTCTGGTGCACGCTGAAGTCTGGCTCCCCGGTAAGCTGCAGGCTTCCCACTGGGTCAGTTTCCTCTTGCCTAATGACCTGTCTAGAAGGAGAACATGGGGATCCCACCAAGGGTCCCACCGCGTCTCCACCTCATCCTGAGTTACCTGCTCAGAAGCCCACCACCAGCCAGCAATTGCCTTCTTGCTGCCACTTGAAGCTGGCCTCTCAGACCAGGGGGGATTAATTGGCAGTGGACAAGCTGGGCCGTGTGCAAAGGATTAGCAGGTGCCGAATGGGGGCAGGGAAGAAAAGAGGTAGATGATGTCCAGGGAGCCAGCAGCACTCCACAGTGCTCAGCAGGGATGTGGGCCCCAGGTTTGCACTACCAAGGGTTGCCAGGAGATCTCCCCAGATGCCAAGGGCCCAGTTTTATACACACCTTGGACAAACCACAGAGTGGCTGGTGGGAGAATAACAGCTTGGAGTGCCCATGTGTTTCCTGGAGCCTCCTCAAGGTGGCAGGGGCTGGCCAACTCTCAGCAGAGGCAGGAGGCATACCCCAGCTATCCAGCCCCAGTGCCAGAGTCTCCTGTCGCTTAGGAGGGTCTCAGCAGGCTCTTGCCTTGGGCTCTGCGGGGGCTGAGCCTTTACCATGGACCGTAGGGCTGGTGGGTGACTGATGCATCTGACCTTCCCTGTGCACTGAGGTTGGATCCTAGGAGGGAGATGGAGATCTAGGGGGGAGGGGGTGTGAGGGTCAGAGGCTCAGAGAAGAGGGGCTCTGTCCAGTGGCAGGACCCAGGTGAGGGGTGATAGAGGGATGTTCAGCAAAGAGCAGGGGGATTGATTCGGTGATCTGCAGGATTTCTAGAGCTCTTCCTACACGCCCAGCAGCGTGCCTGCCTTGGCATGTCGAACCAGACAGACATAGGCCCTGTCCTCACAGAGCTTTTCTTCCAACAAAGAAGATGGAGTAGGGCCTTAAGGAACAGAAGGGGACAACAGCTTCTGAGCTTGGTGGGTGCAGGGGAGAGTGGCGAGAGGTGAGGGGACCAGGTTAGCTCACATCAGGCCGCTGGCACAAGAAAGGAGTTTTTTTGTTTTTGTTTTGACAGAGTCTCACTCTGTTACTCTGGGTAGAGTGCTGTGGCATCATTATAGCTCACAGCAACCTCAAACTCTTGGGCTCAGGTGATCTTCTTGCCTCAGCCTCCCAAGTAGCGCCCACCACAAAGCCTGGCTAGTTTTTCTATTTTTAGTAGAGATAGGGTCTTGCTTTTGCTCCAGCTGGTCTTAAACTCCTGAGCTCAAGCAATCCATCTGCCTCAGCCTCCCAAAGTACTAG